GTAATATTTATACATAAAATAACATGTTAATAAACGCTGGAGTTGGAAGATGAATATATAAGGGTTTATAGCACTATTTTGTGCATGTTTGGAATTGCGTGTTCGAAAATGTTTATTATATATATTTAAATAGATACATATATTTAATACTGAGATCAACTCATTTAATAAGTACTAGTGATTCTTTTTCTAACACAGACTCTAAAATATCATGCATACCACCCAATCATATCCATAGGATCTCATTTTGTTTTAGTCTTTGTATTTTCAAGATCACATTTTCTAAGTCTTTAAAAACTGATGAAAATTAGTGGAATTTAATCCTGATTTAACATATCATTGAGATTGGCTATAATAGCTTCTAAAGTAGATTCAATTTTGAGAATGGCTTTCAAACCAGGTCCACAAAAGACAGAATTTTTGCTCAGTGACTCATCCCTATAAGCTCTAATAGCAGGGGCGGGGGGAAAAAAAAAACCCAAAAAGAATTACCTGTTTTATGTGTGGATTCATGGCCATTTCAGTTACATTCTTCTTCGTTTCACAGAAAATAATAGCCCTCCCTTCAGATCCACTATAGACTTGAAGGACATCTCCAATAACAGCTGGCCTCTGAGACCAATGGCACTGGATGGCCAGATGCTTTAAAGAAAGAAAATATCAAACACATGTCTCATTAAAATATCTTTAAAAATACTTTTTCTTTACATTGGCCCTCCTGGGAGATTATATGACAGAAACTCTCTCTATCTCCACTTAGAAGGCAATATAAAAATGCTTCTCAGTACATAAAAGGATAAATAAATTACAGTATATTCAGACAGTATCACTACCCACTATCACTCAGTCAATTCTCATTCTGAGCAATCCTATATAGGGTTTCTAAGGCTATCATTACAGAAACAGAAAACCTCATCTTTCTCTTGCTGAGTGACAGACTGGTGGGTTTGCCAGATGACCTTGCAATAATTAGTCATCCAACGCTTACCCGACAGTGCCATCAGGGCTCCCTGAAAAGCCCTTCAAAGCAGAGTCAAACTGAGTAACAGACTGTGTATAAGGATTCCTTAAACAAAGGAGAGTATTCAGCGATTGGAAATAACCAGTCTGACATAACAACAGAGTACGTACAGTTATGATTTCACTTATGTGAGGTTTGAGAACACGTAAAACTAATTTATGTTGAGCAAAAACAGAGCAATGGTTGCCTCTGGAAGGAGCATACGGAATTTTCTGGGATGGTGGCAATATTATTTATCTTTCCAGGGACTTGGGTTATACTCACGTATAAGTCTGTAAAAAGGTAGCAAATGTGTACTTAAAAGTTAGCATTTAATTATAAGAAAATTCATTCAAAAAACTAAATAATACAGGAAGGAATCTGAGAAATATTACGCTAAGTAAACATGCCAGATCCTAAAGATTTCATTTACACAACATAACCAGAATAGTTAAATTCAAAAAGACAGAAAGCAGATTGATTAGTGGTTGCCAGGGGCCG